GCTTTAGTGCAGACACTTACATGCTTAGAGATAAGCACATTCTTCAATAACTGCCTGAATTGATGAGACAGCAACCAGCCCTTCTTATGATTGTCTTCCTGAGAAAAAAGTACAGCATTGTGTAAGGGCTCTAAAACACCTGCAGCATCCCAAACAGCGTATCTCCCATAGCTTTGAGAAAGATCAATGTTGCTTGGTATAAGCTCTTTTCCTTCTTTCTTCCCTGTTCCCTCTGCTCCTTAGTTGTGCCCTAAACCCTTGGGTCAATGCAGTCCTCCAGGGGCTGAAAAGGGCTTGACCTTGTATAAAAAGCAATGTTGTTCCCATGTAATAAATATTTAAAATGTTTTATCAGTGTAAATAAATGCTAAATTCTGTGAGCCCAGGGAATGGTATTAACGTGTTTTGCTTACTGAAACATTTATGGAGTCAGTGTCAGCCAACAGAATGCAGCCAAGAAGGGTTTTTTTAAGGTAAACTGAAGTGCTTTTAAAATAAATACTAAGAGCTGTTTAAGATCTTCAATTATTAACAGAAGAAAAGTGTGGGCTGAAAAACTGCAAACAATCCCTTTTGTGGCACTTTTCCTAACCTCTGTGCAGTTATCTCTTTGTCCAGCCTGGATTGAGCTCCTCAAGGCGGCTGCTGTGCCTTCACAGATGTCTGGAGAGTGTCTAGCACATGGAGAGAGCTTCCACGAATGAATAAGCACATTTAGAATGCCAAATATTTGAAAACTGTTTATTTTTAAAGTTACTTGCCAGGACATAAGTTCAGGACTCTGTGTTTATGGTTGGCCAACGATGGCATTGCCAGCCTCTATAAAGCAGTGTAAAAACACAGCTCTTCACTCTGCTGTGGGAAGGCAGTTATTGGCATCACCTACTTGAAATCCAGAGGCCAGCTTTGCAGTCTGATCAGGTCACCAGGCATTCTGATTTAATTATGATTATAAGCTGCACAGCTCATTGGAGTTCAAGCCTTACCTCCACAAGGGAGAAAATGCCAAAGATGCGCAGGGGTGTTTTACAGAGAGCATCAGGCAAGTGGGACTCTATTGCCCCTGTACTGTGAGAGCCCATGTTGGGTGATATCTATGTGTCACAGTGTGGAAAGATTGAGACCGTGCATGAGTTGGGACAGAGAATTCTTTTTTTTATAAGTTCAACTGTCTTTTCTTCCTCTGCACAGGGAATGAGCACGTAGAAGTGTGTAGAAGCTCTTGCCATTGGTTAGAAAAAGCTTTGTGACTGCATGTAAGGGGATGACTCGCCTTGATTTACCCTGATCAGAAATGCAGCTGATCATCCACAGACACTGATCTGCATCTCTCAGTTTTCAGAACGCAGATTTGATGTGTTTTGAAACACGTGGGTTTTTTATTTAAAAAGTGTCTGTTTGTACCACCTACCCATGGCTCTGCCCCAGTCCTTTAACCCCTTTTTTATCTGCTCTCCCTGGTCTCCCCCCTTGCTACAACACCGACTTTTCCAATTGTCCAGGCCTGGTTCCTCATGCCATTCCTCGCAACAGTTATTCATGTTGAAAGTGGCTGCCTGAACTGAGAATAAAGTAAGTTACTGCCAGCAGCTATATTGGAGCAGTAAGCTTGACAACAATACACAGAGCATGGTTATATGCATATATCCCTTGCCCTTCTACAAGTAGCATTCATTACGTCCTCTGAGAGGATATTTCCAAAGTTGCTGCATAGTTAGCAGGTTTAAGCTTTTAGAAACTCTCTGAATACTTTAATAGTAATGTATATAAGCTTGCTAATTAGTGGAATCATCTGGATTTAAAAATAGACTGCCCTAACAGGGTACTGCCCAGCACACACATCAAGTCATGCTAACAGTATTCAGTAGCTCATCTCTTCTTCAAAGTTGGTTTATTATCGTCAAGAAGCTTTTCTCTAATGAAGCTAGCTGAAGCTCATCTAAATCTTCTGGTGGTACATGTTCCCCTTGACTGTCTAAACACCTTGTCATCTCATGTTTATGGTGCAAGCCTTTGATGTCACATCCACTGCTTTGCTAACACAAAGGACAGTGGTTTGTGCAGATATCTTCACTGGACATCTGTAGTACACTGCAGCACTTTCATGTCGTGGGTGATAATGAAGCTACTTTTAAAATGAGAGAGCTTTTTGTTCATCATTGTGTCTTTCCTCAGTACTCTCTCAAAAGCACTGGGTATATGCTATGATGAATATTAAATCAATTAATAATAATAATTAAGGGTAAATTGCATAACATCTGGTATTAGAACTCAACCTTGTGATCTTGGCTACATTTTGGATTAACAAGGCTCCTAAAATCACTAAAAATGGGGGCCTTTATTTGCTTTTGTGTAGATTTATTTGAAGCTACAAATATTTCAATCTGCAAAGTTTGTGGCGGTTTTCCAGGTTCACAGCCATCTGTAGTCTTTTAACTTTCTTGTATTGTACATTGTTTGGGAGAAGGTGGGACATTGTTTTAATTTTCTGGTGAATGTTACATTCTCAGCTGCTGTAAACTATTGGAATGAAGTTGATGTGGACTGCAATTAATTTTCTGTATGTATTTAGAATTAGTAGACTGAATGAGGTGACCATCTAAGGGAAAAGGTTGCCTGCCTCATGTAATCGCAGCAATATTGTTTCCCCAGAGACGTTGCTTATACAAACTACCTAGAGGTAACTGAGCAAGCAGAACGGCCCACTCTTGCATAGGATGAGTTTTGATCCTGTCAATATTGTACTCCATATAAGGATCTCTTTGTGAAAGCTAGAATGTTTTATGCTAATATCACTCACTTTGGATAGTAGCATGAACCATAAACAGATAATGGAACTGATTGCAGGCACCTCAAAAAATATTCTGACTAAAGGGATGCTGGTAGCCAGCTTTGGATTACTAGCAGGCAGTGAATGATCTTGCTGGTCTGGCAGCTGATGCCACCTTTGATTGCTTCTGCTGCATTCCATTGTGGCTGGCGAGCAAACACAAAGTCTCAGCCTTAGCTGTGAATTGGCAAGTGGATTGCCTATGAGTGAAAGTGCTTGTCAAAAGATGTGTCATCCTTATTAGACAGTATTTAAATTAGTTTAAAAAAAAGTAGCAAAAATGAAAATCCAAGATGTTAGATGAGAGATTTTAAAAGTTAATAGTTATCACAAATTCTCTTGGCAGACGTATAACAGACATTTACAACTTATGAATCACATTTTTCAAAAATCACAGCTAATATCAACTTCTCTGAGGAGATGACAGCATTTGCAGGAGACATTAATGGCTTCTGGCTCTCAGTCATTGCAAAATCATGAGCTCGTAATTGTTCTGATCTGGCTATTTGTAGACTATAGAGTTCTAGAGGTCTCTCAATACTTCCAGCATTAATAACCTGCCAGTGACAGTGGTTGCCATCACTGCCACCAGTAATAATAACATTAAGACCTTTGTAAATGCAAATCCTTACTAAAGGCTTAGGAGGCTGGCTTTGTTATTCTGATTTTACGAATGAGAAGGAGACAGAGAGAGGCCCGTGAATCTGCAACTTGAGTCAACTGCATCTGAGTGTACAGCTGCTTAGTGCTTTAGCAAACTTGGCTACAAGTCACCTTCCCTGGGCCATTCTAGAAATGTTTGGCTTGCTCATGATTATGAGTTATACCAGTCTCATGCCTTAACAACAGCCATGTAATAATATTTTGTTCATACCCTGTCGTGGCTTAACCCCAGCCAGCAACTAAGCACCACGCAGCTGCTCACTCACTTCCCTCCCCACCCAGTGGGATGGGGGAGAGTATCAGGAAAAAAAAATAAAACTCGTGGGTTGAGATAAGAACAGTTTAATAGGATAGAAAGGAAGAAACTGATAGTGATAATAATGACAATAATAATAATAAAATGATTGGAATGTACAAAACAGGTCATGCACAATGCAATTGCTCACCACTCTCTGACCAATGCCCAGTTAGTTCCCGGGCAGCGACTGCCCCCTCTGGCCAACTCCCCCCCAGTTTATATACTGGACATGATGTCACATGGCATGGAATACCCCTTTGGCCAGTTTGGGTCAGCTGCCCTGGCTGTGTCCCCTCCCAACTTCTTGTGCCCCTCCAGCCTTCTTGCTGACAGGGAATGAGAAGCTGAAAAATCCTTGACTTAGTATAAACATTACTTAGCAACCACTGAAAACATCAGAGTGTTATCAATATTCTTCTCATACTGAACCCAAAACATAGCACTGTACCAGCTACTAGAAAGAAAACCAACTCTATCCCAGCTGAAACCAGGACATACCCCTATCTAGGGACCTGGACAACCTTATAGAGCGATCCTTAAATCTTTGGGCAAAACCAGCACTGCTGGTTCTGACTCTCCCTCTGTGCAGACTGAAGTAAAGTGAGGTGGATCTGGAGTGCAGGGAGATCCTAAGAGGGCCAGGAGCTCTCAGTCAGTATGGGTTTGGTGGTCCTTCAGCAGCTCAGGCTCTGCCTGAGACTGACTTGACCTCTGGAAGAACCCAGAATCAGAGTAGGGGCATGACTTCAGTTTGCCATCTCTCCCCATGCTCTGGGGTGCAGCTCTGCAGTATCCCAGCATTTGCCCTCTTGTGTGTCTCACTGTTCTTGTCCTCTTTCAGTTCTGGTTGTTCTTTGTTTTTCCCATGCTTTAACTCTCCTCAATACTGTCTGGGGAACACCTTAGGTCTCGTTTTCAAGAGCAGGCAAAATAGCTAATATATCCCTTCCCCAGAGTGGTGGTATTTTGGTGACAGGTTACGTAATATCTGTTTTACTTTAGTCTGTGATCCAGGCTGTGATGGTAAATTTGTGAAATGCTGGGGATCTTCTGGAGGGAGGTGATCTGTAAATGTACATCTTTACGTCATCAAGATAATGAGTTTAGGTGAGGGGGAATGAAATAAAAATGATGTACTACTGTGCAATTTATAGCCTCTCTAAATTTTGTTCTCTTTCTGATAAGTGCTTCCTTCTGTTCTCTCTACAGGTCTCCAGGTGGTTTTAAATTCAATTATCAAGGCCATGGTCCCTTTGTTGCATATTGCCCTGCTGGTGCTGTTTGTCATTATTATCTATGCCATCATTGGACTGGAGTTATTTATGGGGAAGATGCATAAGACCTGCTACCATGTGCAAGGGGGACTGATAGGTAAGGGGGACACTGTATCGCACACACAAAGATTTTCTGAGGGAGACTTTCCCCATATCTAATGGAGCATTTGTGCTGGCACGGGAGACAGGTGGCTGTTGCTCCCTGCTGTGTACCTGTCTGGGGTTTCACAGTGGTGGTTCCTCTGTTCTGCTTCTTGGATATGAATCACCTTTGATGTAAAGACTGCCTTCAATGGTGACAGTTTAGCTTGCTCTTCTTGGGCACTCAGTTGTTGGCTTGTCTGTAAAGGCTATATGGAAAACTGTCAATTCCTGCTGAACACAGTAGTGGACTTAATGTGGACCCTTGGCACTACAAGCCAGCCTGAGTTCTTTAATAAATCTCCCAGAGGCTCAAGTAACACTAAAGTAATGATTTCACCACGAACAGACTGAGCTACAAATGAGATGCCATCACAGAAATGAACAACTTATATTTTATTATTAATCTTGTACACAAATACATCTTCATTTTAAAGAAGTATCGTTGTAAAGGAATATCTAATTGAGGCCCAGTACCCTTTTTTTTAATCACAAGCTGTGACCGTGGTTAGAAGTGCAACTAGTAAGAAAGCGAAATTATATTGAGGGGAAGAAACTTTTTGCACCAAATCCATCAGGAAAGAATTTTCAAATTATTGACAGAAAGAAATATTCACATTTCAAAATAATTCAATTGTATTGTCACTCACTCATCTAACCGTCGGCATTTTTGATTTATTGAACTTGAACAGGAGTGGTTGCCCATGTGGTGGTGGGTGCCAATGCCTAGGACCTAGTTTGGATTGTAATCAAGAAAATATTCTACAGCAGGAAATTGTTTCAGAAGTTCTATATTTTCTGCTTTTATAACGTTGGCAGATTTCATTTTCTGAACATAATGCTAGAACTATAATGAATTGTCAGTCTGGTTTAGAGCTTCAAAGTGTATATATCTTTCTCCATACTGTCTGGAATTATTTACATTACAGCATCTAATTCTAATATTGCTGTTTCTGGCATGCTTTAATGATCAGAATGTGATCATAACTTTTGGAAAATTACTTTTTTTTTTCCATATAAGATGAGAAACAAACATAAGTACCTGCTCCCACACACATACCTGCATCTGTTATAAATGTAGCACTGAGCTCTGAAATCTGTATATTTAAAAAAATCCTATTGCAGGAGGTTTTGTGCTTATAAATATGTTTTCTGTAGCATTTTTCATATACCAAAACATTTAGGCAGGCTTGTTATATGGGTTCTCAGATCTTTGGAAACACCTGTACAGAAGGTGGATAACCAAGCAGTAGTCTTTTAGAGCTTCCGAGTGCCACTGGGCTATTGATAAAATGCCACACAGCTTCTAAACTCCAAAAGAGCAGAGCTCCAGAGACTCTCTGCTGAACTTAGCAGTGGCCCAGCACCATATCAACCTATCTCAGAGCACTGAAGCCTGTCTGCTGCAGAGGTTCAGCCTCCTTCAACAGAGTGCCAGTCAGTGCTGCAGTTCCCTTCCAAGATTAACCCAGATGCCAAGTGACTGCGGAATGAAAACACTGGTCACAACATGCAGCCTAAAGAAATGTAATAGACTTGATCTAACGCTCCCTCTCATGTTGAAAGGCATGATTCCTTCCTCATAGAAGGGTATGCCTTAAAAAAATGTCCATCTCAGTTTTGACTGTAAAATTTGACAGCTTGGCCATTATTTTTACAAAAAGAAAGTGAAGCACAACAAAACATCCCTCTGCCCATTGAAATTAATACAGTTGCTTGTGTATTCCCAGAGAAATCTGTGAAATTCACTGCAAAATGTATTTGTTAAAATCAGATATCTTTTACTCGCTTATCAGTATGTCAAATAGCAATTAGTTCCCTTCACCTCCTTTTTCTCCCTCCTCTCCTTTAAGATACACCTGCAGAAGATGATCCGTCTCCCTGTGCCCCCCAGTCTGCACATGGGCGGCAGTGTCAGAACGGCACGGAGTGCAAGGCAGGCTGGGAGGGACCTAAACATGGCATTACGAACTTTGACAATTTTGCTTTTGCCATGCTGACGGTGTTTCAGTGCATCACGATGGAGGGCTGGACAGATGTACTGTACTGGGTACGTATCCGAAAATGATAAGCTGAAAGGCCTGCTCATGTGCTATGGCTATGTTGAAATTTCAGGGCTTTAGCTTCCTTGCTTGTTCTATACAGTGAAGGCGTGGTTGCTAGCGTGAAGCTTTAATTAACTCAGAATATTAGTGGGTAAAATGGGAGGGTTTATCTGGCGCAGTTAAATCAAATGTAAATGTTGACTTTCCATCGATATTTTAATGTTGAAAGATGGCACATGGCTTATTGGTTTGAAGATTTGCAATGTATCTTTGTTGAGTAGAATGTCATGTAAAGACCCTCTCTGCAGGAGTGAAATATCTCGTACATCCCCAAATTACTGATGTAGAAGTATTTGTGACAGATAACTATGTGCTTTACCCATGGCATTAATGTTACAAAGGCACTACACTGATCAGCTCATAGGTTTTATAAGAAAGGCCTCATAAATCCCTTTTCATGCCAGCACTACTCCTGATTATGACTTTTATCATAATGATGTTAGAATAAATTATCATAACTCTGATATTGGTATCGATCATGTTTAGATGAGACATATTATCTTTAATCTAAATGCAATCTCATCTTGTCCTTTACCCTAATTCTGGAAGTTTCAATAGCTTTAGTTTCTACCTTGTAATTTCTAATGTGCTGGGAAATTCGGTGGCAATACAATTATACTATAGGAGTTAAAATCAGATTTAGCCTTCACCTGTAAACCAGATATAAACACGTTTCTGGATTCAGCTCTTGCCATCACCTTTTGCAGCGATATGTTATGGTCCAGGAATATAATTCGCACACAGCTCAGTCCGATCTGTATAAGGCTAACACGGACTCTTACTAACTTTGAGGACTGGCATATTATGACACCTGGTTCTCCAGGATGGTAGGATGTGCTGCAATGCATGATGGAATTTAACTCAAGATGACCCAAAGCACACAAAAGGATAACCTGGGCTGAGGCAGCTTGCACTGTTAATCAATATCAGCTTCTCTCTTAAACACAAGCCTGAAGCTGCCTTTTACCCACCAGTGAGTTCGGGTTTACAAGATTCCCTTTGAAGATGTAGCTTATCTGCAGTAGTCTCTATGTGGAACAGCTAGCAGTTGTCTCTTTATCCTCGTAAATTTAGTTTATAATTGTGACTCCAGCTTCCCTCTCATGCCTGAGATAAAGGGCAGAGATCAAACCACAAGGGGAGCTGGGTCTCAGAGCACAAAAATTGCCTTTACTTGAAAAGAGGGTCTAGATTAATAAAATAATGAAGAAGAACAGAAGTTAAGTCAGAAAAGGAACTGGGCAAAACTACTGCACGGCTCAACTATGGCTATATATAATAAACCTGTCTTTTTATCACATTTAGCTCACATTCCTCCAGTCTTTGTGTGATTGAGAGGATTTATAGGTAGTTCAGGGGAAACAGGAGAGAGTAAAAGGTATCAGAAATAAACATGAAAATAGTTTTGGCAGTGTATACCATTTAGTATCGTGAAACCTATACACAAGTTATCATCATTTTCTCCAAAGGCACGTGTTATGAAAGACCCTGCCAATCCCCACACTTTTGGGTCCATGCGTCATTTGCGTGACTGGATGTGAATCATTCAGAACTCAGTTATCAGTTATCTAATAACAGGAGCCAAAAGCATGTACTCACTGCTAAATGATTTTCTACCATGACTGCTGCAGATGGTCTGATTTTTTTTATGGCGTCCCTGCAGCAACCTGGGTTTTAGCTGTTAGCTTTTGTTTGGTATTCAGCCAGCTTTTTTCACTGATTTTCTGGGCTTTTCTTTTTTTCTTTAGAGACAGTATGGTGAACTGAGACCTTAAATTAATGCACATTGATGGTCATTTTTAGGGGCATCCATATAGTTAGCCTTTTACATTATGGCTTTGATAGAAAGCTTGCTTTGGAAACAAAAGAAATATTTGTTATCATCAGTTCCCAGTTATTCCTAGAGAAGATTACAAAAGATAAAGAGTTAGCACTGCAGATAAAATTTTAGTAATTGAAGAGGAGGAAATTTAGTTTGTAAAGAAAAAAACATATCACCTATGTTTAAAGGCCATGAAATACAAAGTTTGAGTAAGCACCTGAACACCTGAGCTGACAGACATACTCTTAAGCTGCTGTAAACGATCCTAAGAGTACTATTGTCCCATATGAATTTTTTCCTCTGAGTTATACTGACAAAGTGGATAGAAGTTGGCTCTGATCAGTGTTTGCTTTGTGATAAAGAAGGTATCTGAGATGTGACACATATTTCCTTCTGCAGAGAGGTCTGTGCTACTCTGGGGGCAGATGTTGATTGGGCAATTACTACAGGGCACACTTATAAGAAGCGTTGTGGCTTTAATATTTATATGTAGAAACATATGTCTCTAATGTCTCTAAATGTCCATGAAAAGGGCATTCTGGATTAAGCTAGCGAGATCAAAAGGAAGAGTACTTCTGGATAGTAAAGAATAGAAAAGATGCAAAATTTCAATTTCCGAGAGTGAAGAAAGAATTTTAGTAAGTAGGGTAGGATATGTATATATATATTTTAAACTTAGTGTGAGCCACTGTCTCATTAGTGAAATCTGACTCATATATAACTCTACTCCCTGGCCTTTGCCTTTTGAGCCAAGGAAGAGTGGACTTTTCATAGACAACCCATTGGATGCTGCATCTCCACAAGAGTGCAGAGATAGGAGGCTATTCTCTTCTCAAGTAGATAACGCTTTGAAAGATCACCTGGATCCGTAGTGAGGTCATGGAAATTAAAATTTGCTTTATTAGGAAATAAATCTGCACAGCTAATTAGATTAGAAATCCAGACTTAAAGATCCCCTCTCTCCAACTAAATCCTGAGATAGAGTTGGTTGTCCGTTTTACACTGAAAGGAAAGTACAGAACGGTATAAGAAAATGTCTGTAAATCAGACAGTTTTGCAGCTGAAAATTTTAGGTGATGGAGAGGTCATTCCTTAAACTTAATGATGTAGGCTAATGGGTTGATATTAAAAGTGCTGAGCATTCAAAGTTCAAGCAGACTGTTAGGTTCTTAGGTCCTCTGCAATTCAGGGTACCTACCAAGGTTTGAATCTGGGCTCCTGCTGGGGTCAATGTCAGAATTCCAATTAATTTCAAAAGGTCAAGATCTCACCTTCTATTTTGTAAAATCTTGATCATGCTCTTGAGATTTTCCATATGCAGTCATGTGTACAACATGAGGACTTGCAGGTGCCTAATCAGGGCCTTGGCGTCTCTTGTGATAGTCTTCCAAGGACATATATGTGGATGCAGGGAGTTTTCTTTGCTCCCTCCTTAAATCTGAAAATAAGAGCCTTACCTAAAACTTAGCAGAACAACAGATAAAGCTCTGGGCTGAATCACTTGGCCGGAAATGTTTAGGCAATGGAGTAATTCCCTTGGTTTAAACTTTTCTATAAATGCTTTTCAATTATATCTTCCTACTTTCTGAAAAATATCCTTTGAAAGGTACCTAGATCTCTGCATTCCTCTCAGTGGGAATGGAGGGAGCTTAGCACATTTCAGCATGTTGCCCTGAAAAATATACTAGTAATTTCATGAAACCTATGTCTGTCTTGTGCCACACTTTGCAAGGTTAAACCTGCATGTTTAAAACTTAGAAAGCTCTGTGACCTTCCACAAGCCCTGGACTCCTAATCCACTTAGTAGCTCTTCAAATTTTACCTTCAGTTTCCTGCTTCCTTCTTCATGCTTCCCCTTGTGCCTCCTCCGGCTTTTCACCCATGTAGTGAAGCCTGTCTCTTCTCTCATGGAGTACTATTTCCCAGCCTGTGACCCACATCCTCACAAAAAGATAATCAGAGACAGGAAAGCAATAAACTTTTATTCCCTAGAAGGGCTTGACATCAATAAGATCAATACACTTTCCAATCTCCTCTCTTAGTCAGCAGATAAGACTTGTGAGTAGATTGGCTTCTTCTGAAATGTGAAAGAAAAATTTTAGGGAAAACCGTTTGACACTGCTATAGTGGCAGGTAAGATAATTACTTACTTACAAGGAGCCAATTTTTTAATGTGAAATAACTGTATTGGACAGGATGAAAATCTGTGCAAAACAACCTTGTTGACTCTTTGCTGAAGAATTGATCTTTGTTAAAGGGAGGATTAAGTGTTTATAGGAGCACATCTCCTATACTGCCTCAGTCTTACAAGGTTTACTTTCTCCCAGTACAACTGCCAGGTGGCTTTGTCTCATATGCAGTCAGTTCACAGAATCATTTGAGTAGACAGGCACCTCTTACGATACGTCACTTCATGATTTTTCCTACGCATTGTAGAAAGATTGAACTTCTTATTCTCAAAACTCTCCTTAATGTATGATCAGCCAGCATTAGCAGCTTGCTCCCTTGTGCCGGCAACAAGGCCCATTTCTGAAGACCCCTCAGTCTTGGAAACTTCCAGCAGCAGATGCAAATCCAAATGTTACAAATTGAGTCATTTGGTATTTTGTAATCAGTCTCTGCTGCAGTCCGTTATTTCTTATTGTCTTGTTGACTAAGGAGGAAAATTAATCCCTGTGCAGTTTGTAACATCCTGTTTAAGTATTTGTAGGCATTTGTTGTCTTCCCTTAATCTTTTTCTAATCTGAGCAGATTCAGTTCTTCCAACCTTCCCTAATGGGGCTTCTTTTTAATTATTTTTAATCAGTTTGTTACTGTCCTTCAGGGGAAGCTTTGCTTCTGAGTTAAATACAATTTGGACAGTGCCCTGTCTCTAGAAAGGCTTTCATCTTTGTGTGAAATGTGCTTTCTACAGCTGGAGCCTGGTGACACTGCATGCAAAACTGCCTAGTGCAGCCTCAGTTTTACATATCTGGTCTCTCCACACCCCTGCATCTAAGCAATCGTATATATAAATGAAAACAGAGTACAGAGAAAATACAAAATGCAACTATACGTTGTTGCATTGGCCTATTCACACTGCTGGGTAGTGGAGAACCTGGTCCTGAGATGTTCTGTGTACAA